ATACGCAAAAATCTCTTGAGTATAAAATGAGCAACTTTTTTCTGAATGCATCTCCTTGGGCAAGAGAAACAAAAGCAAAAATGAACAAATGGAACTACATCAAACTAAAAAGCTTCTGTACAGCAAAGGACACCATCAGTAGAACAAAAAGGCATCCTACAGTATGGGAGAATATATTTGTAAATGACATATCTGATAAGGGGTTAACATTCAAATACATAAAAAACTTACAGGCCTCAACACTCAGAAAGCAAATAAACCTATTAAAATTTGGGCAGACTATATGAACAGACAGACACTTCTCCAAAGAAGAAATTCAGACGGCCAAGAGGCACATGAAAAGATACTCCACATCGCTAATTATCATGGAAATGCAAATTAAAACCACAATGAGATAACACCTCACACCAATTAGGATGGCCAACACTGAAAAGACTAGGAACAAGAAATGCTGGTGAGGATGCAGAGAAAGGGGAACACTCAAACACTGCTGGTGGGAATGTAAATTAGTTGAACCATTGTGGAAAGCAATATGGAGGTTCCTCAAAAAACTAACAATAGAAATACCATTTGACCTGAGAATTCCACTCCTAGGAATTTACCCGAAGAATATAATTTCTCAGATTCAAAAAGACATATGTACCTCTATGTGTATCATAGCACTATTTATAATAGCCAGGATATGGAAGCAACCTACGTGTCCATCAGTACATGAATGAATAAAGAAGAGGTGGTACATATACACAATGGAATACTATTCAGCCATGAGAGGAAAACAAATTCTACCATTTGCAACAACATGGATGGAGCTAGAGGGTATTATGCTCAGTTTGATAAGACTGGCAGAGAAAGAGAAGTACCAAATGATTTCCCTTATTTGTGGAGTATAACAATAAAGCAAAACTGAAGGAACAAAACAGCAGCAGAGTGACAGACTCCAAGAAGGGACTCACGGTTCCCAAAGAGGAGGGGTATGGGAGGGCTGGTGGAGAGGGAGGGAGAAGGGGATTGAGGGGTATTATGATCAGCACACTCAGGGAGAAGACAGTGTAGCACATAGAAGACAAGTAGTGACTCTGTGGCATCTTGCTACACAGATGGACAGTGACTGCAATGGGGGAGACTTGATAATATGGGTGAATGTAGTAACCACAATGTTTTGCATGTGAAACCTTCAATGATACCTTAACAAAAGAAAATACAATTGTCTGAATAATGGCGAATTTTGTCAGCAAACTGAATTTGATTGAAAAGTTATTTTTAAACAAGATATAAAATATAAATAGGTTATAGCAATGTTTGTGTCTAAAATCCCAGATTATTAACAAAGTGTGAAAAGTTTATGAGGTCAAGACAAAGTGTATTAAAATTAATATATTACATAGCACTTGACCCTTTATTATGGAGGATCAGAGATTAATTTTTTTTTGAGGTTACCACTATGTAACTAAGAACAAAACATAAAATTCATGTGACTAGAAAGCTTTCTAAGGGTGAAGAAAGAAGCTAGCTAACAAATTGGGAAAGAGCAAGGAGAATTAGGCTTAGGAATATTCGTTGGCCTGGGGAAAGCGTCTTGCACAGAGTAGCACACAGAGAATGAAGGATGTAAGCTGCACATATAGAGTGACATTCACTCTGTTTCTTTCTTTCCCACTGCTCGCGGGTCTGGGTGTGGGGAAAAGAACCAGTAGGAGAGAGTATTAAGAACAAAGTTGTCTAAATGTTGGTAAATTTTGTTAGCAAACTGAATTTGATTAGTTTGATTTCCTTCATTTAATACCTTTTTCCATCCAAAATATATCTTAGTATTTGGTGAGCTCAGTAAGCAAAGAAGGAGAAATGGAAGCACATGCCCTAAAATGTTGGCATTGATTGTATCTAGGAGTTGGGATGTGGAATAAGTTTTGTTTTCATCTTTATATTTTCTATAGAATGGATGCATTGAATTTATTACTTAAAAGAGATGGGAAAATTTGCAAAAACAAAAGGCTCCCATCCTCCAACAATCAGTTATGATCTCTATGCTTTCTGCAAGCCCACATGACTGGTCAGCTTAAGATGTTATTGGCACTGTGCTTCACGTGAATAGCAGGCCCTGGATTTGTTCAGTGCACAGCCAGTAGAACTGCGTTTGGGCCATCTTCTAGCATTTTCACATTTTTATTCTTTCCTTTTTAATACTATTTTCTTTCTGATTATAATATTATCACATAAACTTTAGTGGTAATTGGAAAACATAACAAAGGACACATACAAAAACTGCCTATCCCACTACCTGAGGTCACTAAAAATTATCATTTCTACTTCCTCATGTTATCCTCTCCTTGCTTCCAATCTAAAGTCATAGCTAATCCAATTTTATAATCCTGACTTTTTCCTCTTCAGAATGATACCAATATTTTTCTCATGTCATTAAACTTTTATACACACCTTTTGAAATTGCTGCAAAATATTTCAAACCATTAATATAGTTATAAAATTCAACTAAATTTCAAGTTAGCTTCAAAATGGTTGATCCAAAAAAAGAAAATCACCACCGAGTTGAACAATTTTACTCTCAAATCCTTATCCACATTTCAGATTATTTGCTGGAACACAAGTGGAGATGGAAGGGTAACTGTCATTAAGGCTTTTAATCTGTGTGGTTCAAATTGCTTTTTTAAAACTTATTTCAATTTACACTCTCACCAGAGGATATGTGGTTTTCCATACTATCAAGACCTTGCTGGAACATATGTTCCACAAATGAATCTTTGCTTGTTTGGTAGGGATTTAAAATTTTATGGTAATTTCTTTATGAAATAAATTTAAAATTTTTATGTGTTTTTCAATCATTTGTATTTTCTCTTGTACTTTATTTTCTTTATTTTTCTTTTGGGATGCTTTATTCTCTTATTTGAATTAAATTGCCTTATTTCAATCAATTTGCAGAGCTTATTATATATTAATGGTATTATCCATTCATCTATAGTATTTATGGCATACGAATTTCCAGTTTGGCATATTATTTCCTTATTCAGTTGATGTATCGATGATTTCAATATTTATGAGCTCAGATCCATTATCCTTTTCCTCCATTTTTCTTCCATGGCTTTCATTCTTAGAAAGCTTTCCCTTTTCAGAGATCATAGTCACATCTATTTCTGTGTGATTCTATTATGGTTTCTTTCCTTTCATTTAATGCTACGGTTCATCTGAAATACATTTCAGGATATGGCAAGATGTAAGAATCTAAGCTGTTTTTTTTTCTCTGTAGAGGTAGGCCATCTACCCAATTGTCTTACAAATAGTCCATTCACTGCCCTTCATTTTTTGATGCCTCCTTTATATTCAATATTACTTTCATAACCGAAAAAAAAAAGCTTTTATTTTGAAAAAGAAAAGACAAGGCACTTTGAACCTGCTAGTAGTCACACCACTGCCAGGTATTGTTCTAGAAAGTCCATATATCTCAGCTCGTCAGATTCCCACTAACCTCACGCCGCACCCATTTGCATCCCCCCATCACAGATGAGGGGACAGAAACAAGAGGAGCCACCCAGGGGGATGGACTCATCCTGCACACTGGCTCCAGTCTCCACGTGTCCCTCACCACTGCAGACTGCCCCAGCTAGATGCCCACTTCCTGCTCCGGACTCCAGCTCAGCGGCCACCTCACCCATACCCTGGTGGATTAGCCTGGGGCTCATACTTACTTTCTATAAAAGGCATCAGGTTTAAACAAGGAAAATTCACAGTTGTAGACAATGTAAATACTCTAAATCAAAGAGAGCCTTCTCAGCTTCGTCCCTGTTGTCACAGGGAGCTGCAGGCAGCCCTGTGAGGAAACCCAAAGGCCTGAGCAAGAGGGTGCTTCCACTGAGCCCAGAGCACTGGGCTCCCTGCCTTCTGCTTTGCCATGCCAAGGATTCCTTGTCCAGTCGCACACCAAAGAACTCCCTGAGGCTAATAAGCAAGCATGATCTCAGTGGAGGTGCCTCTGATATTTCAGAAGTGGAAATAGCATAAACGGAAACAACATAAATTGCTGTTTGGCAGCAAAACACAGCAAACACAAAAGGTAGTATCATATGCAGGCATTAATAATGTAGAAATGACACAGGGAAATAGTCTCTGTATATTATGGAGTAACATTTCAAATTATTAGGCATGTGGACACCATGGTTTTAGTAATAAATGTAGATATGTGCATATAAAAGTATGTGTGTGTGCATAAAATATATATTTGTAGTAAAAAAAATACACACACAATAAAGAAAATCATACATCAGAATGCACGTTATCTAGAATCAGACTGCCTACACCCAATCTTCTCCTCATGGCTTACAGGCTGTGAGACCTTAGGCAGTTAATTTCTCTAGGTCTCAGCTTTCTCATCAATAAAATGGGAACAATTTAACTACCTCATACGGTGACAGTGAAAGAATTCATATGTGAAGAGCATTTAGAATAGGGTGTGGTGCAACAAAGCACTTGTAAGCACTCATTATTATTACTTACAAATTTTCTAAAATGCATATTTATGACATTTGTAATTAAAGAAAAGTCCATCTGTTTAGCATTTAGAAAGGTGATATTATCTCATCATAGAAAACGTGACAGCACCTGCAGCCTTTCTTTGGCAGTAAGTGGCTCTGGCCACAGTACTGAGCAGTGGACATTTGTAGTCACCAGAATCTGTACTCAACTTCCTGCTCAATGTTCCATTTACAGGCCCCAGGAGATCTCAAAATTAAAATGCCCCAAAGAGAACTCACTCCACACCTGAGGCAGAGGAGGCTACCACAGCCTTTGGTCTATGCCCCCCTAGAACATTTATTACGTTTGTCCCCACCAGCAGCTGGTGAAAGCTTTCCTGTCAGGTCTTGCACCTCCCAAACCACTCACTGAATGAATGAATGAACAAATGAAGGAAGAACTCTGTTCCCTATTTTCCCCCATCATAGCAATCCCCCAAAGCCCCTTGCACAGCTAAGAGCATGTGTGGTCTTAATTACCTCCCCATATGCAATGGTGTTATTGTATCTTCTCATTTCTGGGTAAACATGGTCCAGGTACCACTGGAAATTCTTACACTTTAAACTTTTCCTTAAGGCTCTTCTTTCAGAGACGTCGCCTATATCAATTCCTGGATTCTGAAAATAGAATCAAACAGCGTTAGTGACCTGGGAGCCCTGTCCAGAGAGGAGGACTATCAGAGAAAAATCTTTGGCTCTGCATATTCGCTCAGGCCAGTTTAAGGGGAACTATTTGATGATGGAGTCCTAAGTTAGACACTGCTGTCCCCGAGTACAGCATGCAGCTCCCAGTCCCCAGAGTCAGCCGTCCCTATTAGCAGCACGTGGAAGGGATCCCAGGACACACTGATGTTGACGACCCCCACATTTCCTCAATGACTATCAGAGCCAGTTATTAGAGGAATTATTTGATTAAGACAAGAAAATAAATGCCTATAACCACCTCCTGTCTTTTTCCTATGCATATGTAATTTCCCCCTGTGTTAGCTCTTTGTGAAGTTCATTATATGCAGAAGTGAAAATAATTTTCCATTGCAAAGCTTGTAATGATGTCCTAATGAATAATTCACTCTGCTTTTACAGAAATGAACCTGTAATGGGCTGCTGTGTGCTGACAGATGAAAATGAAGTAGCTGAAATATGACTCCGCAGACTCAGCCACAAGATGGCCGTGAACTAGTGGAGACAGGATGCTGTCTGCAACGGCGGGCAGCCAGGCGGTATCTTGGGGGCCAAGGAGAAGAGTTCAAATTATTTGATTAAGATTTCTTCTTTGGCAGCCAAACAGTGATTTTAAAGGAAAATCCCTTTCAATGTCAAACTTGTTAAAACTCAAAGGCAATCTGGGCAGCAATATTTAACTCTGTAATGTGCTTAACATGATTAACGATAATGCTCATTTTTGGAAAGCCTGCTAGTGTACTGCTGGCATTAGGGACCAGAGGTTGTTTGTCAGGGTGGAGAAAACACCGTAACAGAGTCAGCAGCCCTAGGTTCTTATGATTCTGAGTAAGTCACAACTTCTCACCTGCAAAGCAGGAATAATAACAGTACTCATTCCATGGATTTTGCAAAGCTGTGAGGAGAGTAGAATGAAGATGTTAAGTTTGCATCCCTGTCCCACCATGTGCTAGAGGTAGGACCTTAAGCATATCATTTTGAAACCTCTGGGTTTCAGTTTACCCATCTGTCAAAAGAGCATCATAATAGGTTCATATCAAGCTAGCATTTATTGAGCAGTTAATATTTGCTATGTTCTGTTCTAAGCTTTCTTTTATCTTCACAAGAGCTCTATGAGAAAAGTGTTAAAAGTCCTTGTTTTACAGATGTGGAAACTGAGGCAGAAAGTTCCTGTATCATTAGGTTGTAATGGGGGCTAAGAGAGATACTGCAAATAAAGAATTTAGGGAGTGCCTGGTATACAGTAAAGGCTCAACAAATGTTATCTATTTTTGTATAAAATCATGTGTAAATTCACTTCTAGTTTAACATCTATATAGCACTATATGGCCATAAGGGGGTTTTCAATGCTTTAGAACATTATTTCAGTAATTGTAAGAACATGATGTAAATTCTTTACTTTTATACTCTTTATCCTTAAACCTTGCCCATATTCAATTGCATTTCTGCTGTACTGGGTTCTAGGCTCTTGAAATGCAGGGGTTGCCATTTCTCAGTGGAAACAGTTCCAGATGATTCTATCAGTGCATAGCTCAGACACTTATAGGTGATCTAACTGAGAAGATAAATCCAACTGTGGTTGAGAGTGCAGGTCACCCCACAGTGCTGTCGGGGACAGATAATGCTTGCTACATTATCTGTGCCAGCTACTGCTCTGATTTAACACTTTACTACTTAGTACTTGGATTTAGTACTTAGTACTTAGTTTTAGTTCTTTAGAGTCAGTTCTTACAATTGCCCTGGGAAGGAGGACCTGCTATTAACCCCATTTAATAGCTGAGAAATCTAAGCTGCAGAGACAATAAATGGATTTGTTCAAGATCCCATAACTAATTAGTGGCAGAGCTGGGATTCCCACAAAGCTTGTGCACACCACTGTGCAATATTCCCATGGGGCTTCAGAAGCATGGAATTTTCCTAGGCTATGTTCTGGGCAGAGTATGGAGGAGACCTGAAGGGTCATATAAACAAGGAACTCAGGATACAGTAGGGGCATCTGTAATGAGGTGGCTGGAGCTCCATGGGAGGGCACAGAGTAAGAGCAGATGACAGGGTCTGATGCCAAAATCTCTAGGCAAGAATCTTTCTGACACAAGTATGTTTAGGGGAAGGGTAGCTAGATTACTATAATAAGACTGGGATTAACATACTAAGACTCTTCTACTCTTTGAAAGTGGATTTCAGGATTTCCATTGTGTACATCCCCATGTAAAGCAGAGGTTCTAAAACCTGAAGGTTTTCAACACCCCTGAAAATGTATTTATGATTTTGCAAGTATAAGCACCTTTCTGGGGAGGAACCATCAGCTTATTAAAGAGATCAGTGACCCATCAAGCACAGAATGGCTATTCTAAGGGTGATGGGGCAGTGCTGTTGGGCCCTACCTCCAGTGGCAGATTCCACGCTATGTACACATGAGACTTGTAATCATCCATCCAGACCTCAGCAACCCGGAGAGCATTCCTCTTGGTGTAGAAGCCAATGTTGCTGTTGTATGGCTTCTTCTTCCGTTCAATATGTGCCACCCGTGAGCAAGGCAGGACCTCCATGCTGCCCCCACAGAGCCATACCTGGAGGTGCAAGAACTTCATCAGCCTGACAGAGAAATTCCCAGAGGCCACTGTCCCCTCCTCAAGGCCCAAAAGCATGAATGAGAAACACATTTTAATATATAAAGCCACTGAGATTTCAGTGTTGGTTTGTTATAGTAGCATAGCCTAACTTAACCTATGTGAGGCATAAGGTAGAGAAGAAGGTTTGAGGGAATTTTTATAGATATAGTGATTTAAGATATAAAAATCTGGTGCTGGGTAAGAGATGCCCATAAACTTAAGGTGCGCCTCATGACATAAGAGTTTTTTCTAAATTCTCAGTAATGTACAATTGGTATCCATGAAGGCTTTCTTTCCCGCCTAGCTGAAGCTGTGCCCTGCAGACCTGGAACAGACTATTCAAACTAAAATTCAACCCAACTTTATCTATATCAGCACAAAGTGTGAAATGGGCTACTTCTGCATTGTTAAGATACTCTGTTTTAGAGTCCTAACAGCACAGACATCCAGCCTTCTGGAAACCTCTACCCAATGTCCTCATGTCACTGGAACACTCAGGTGGAAGGCTGAAAGGACAGCTGTCTCTGAGGGATGCAAAGCCCAAAGATAGCACTTGTCATCCCCTTTGTGGGCATGACAGGCATCCAGGCTTGGGCCCATCTTTGGGCTCTTCCTTGGGGGAAAATTGGACCATCCAATGTCTCTCAGTGCCAGGCAGAAAAAAATAAAGCCCTTCTGATTGTCAAGGAGGACTAATTTATGGAAAAGAGCTTCCTGGTACTGGTGGGGAGAAGAGGAAGAAAACACCGAGAGGTTTCAGGGACCTGAGCGACTGTCCTGCTGTGGGGGTCCTGGACACTTTCCACCTGTGAGAGTGCTCTGGTGAGCTGCTCAGGTCAGCATAGCTATGTATGTTCCTCCCAACCTGGGTTACTTCAAGCCATTCCACCTTCAGTCTTCCAGGTCTCTTCCTCAAGAATACTGGGACCCTCTTGGGTATTTACACACCTCTCCTGGGCCTTTATTAATTGAATTTGGTAGCAAAATTCATGTGTGAATTGTCTTCTATTTCCCAGCTCTGAATACACAACAGGAAGATAGTACAGATGAAAACCTTCCTCACAACTAAGAGCCCTCACCTTGCTTGCTTCCTCAAGCAGGAGACTGTGAGCTAAGAGACTGGTAGACAGAGGATGGTCCAGACTAAACTGATTTGGCCCTGACAACTAGGTACCTCCATGGGTTCAGGCAGACTTACTTGCTGCCAGTGGAAGGAGCCAAGTCAGGGAGGCAAAATATAGCAAGAGGCCTTACAGAGTAAAACAGGGTGGCTGAATTCTCAAGGGTCAGTGATGTCCAAAGATGCAGAATTCCACAGGTATCTGATATTGGATGGTTTTAAGATTCAGGGGCTGAATGGAAAGATAGCTCATGGTCATGGATTGGAAGACTAATATTGTTAAAATGGTGATACTCCCCAAATTGATTTAAAGATTCAACACAATCCCTGTCAAACCCACTGATGACTGCTTTGCAAAAGTTAACAAACTGATCCTAAAATTCATATGGAGATACAACGGACCCAAAATAACCTTGAAAAGAACAAAGTTGGAGGACTTCCACTTCCAATTTCAAAACTTACCACAAAGCTACCATAATTAAGACAGTATGATATTAGCATAAGGATAGACATATAAATCAAGATAATATAATAAAGAGTCTAGAAGTGGGTCCACACATTTATGGCTAATTGACTTTCAACACAGGTGTCCAGAAAACTCAATGGCAGAAAGAATAGTGTTTTCAACAAATTGTGCTGGGACAACACGCAAAAGAATGAATTTGAACCCTTACCTCACAACATATACAAAAATTAACTCGAAATGGATCAAAGACCTAAATGTAAGAACTAAAACTGTAGAACACTCAGAAGAAAAATGTGAATAAATGAAATATGGTATAGCCATACACTGGAATATCATTTGGCAATAAAAATAAATGAAATACTGATAAATGCCACACATGGATGAACCTTGAAAACATGCTAAGTGAAAGAGGCCAGTCACAAAGGACCATATATTGTATGCTTTCATTTATATGAAATGTCTGGTTTAAGAAAACCCTGGTGTAGAGACAGAATGTAAATTGATGATTGTCTAGAGCTGGAGTTGGTCAGAGGAAGACAAAGTGATTACTAATGGATAAGGAATTTCCTTTTAGGGTGATAAAAAGGTTCTAGTGGTGAGCACTGAACAACTCTTTGAATATACTAAAAAACAATGAGTTGTACACTTTAAATACATGAATTGAAATGGTATGTGAATATCTCAACAAAGCTGTGGCAAAAATAAATAGATAAATCCATAGATGTGGAGGAAAGAAGAGTGAAGGGATGAATTCCAGTTTGGGGAGCTCCGGAGGACTGATGAGAGCAGATCTCTGTGAGGACCAGTTCCTGAGCAGGCATCACAGATGCAGGTGTGGGAGGGGCCTCAGCAAAAGCTAGAAGCCCAGTTGCAAGAACAGAGGTACTAGGTGGGAACAGATCCTGCAGCCAGGCTGACTTGGTGCCAATCCTCCATAATAGAGAAAGAAAAAGAAACACACACACAAACAGCCAGTACATGTGGGAGGCAAACTGAGCTCAGCCTCTTGGGCCCTGAGGGACAGCCCCAGCCTTGGAGCAGCTCCTGGCCACTCCTCTCTGCCTTGTCTTTCCCTCATCCTCCACTTCCATAAATGCCTCCCTCAGAGGTAAGTGTTCCCACTCTGCCTGCTCCAGACCTCCAGACCCCAAATCATTATAACCAAGCACCAAACACCAACTACCTCATGAAATCCTCACAGGTGAAGAAACTGAGGGTCTAAAAGTTTGATTAAGTTGTTTATAATCCACAGTAGGTCAGTAGGAGAGCCAGTACCACAGGCCCTACACAGGCCAGCCTTTACTTGGTGGGCACTGCAGCTCTAACCCCTCCCATTCAGGAGGAATGATCTGTAGTCATGGACCTTCCCACGCCTCTTCAGCCACAGCTTGCACCTCACCCAGGATGCCTGCTGGTGTCTCTGACCCACACTGCAGCTGGGAACAACGTGCACGCACGTGGCCCAAGGAAGCTCAGCAGATCTGAGGTGGCATCAATAACTTCAAGGGTAGGGCTGTCATTGTAAGAGATGTCATGACTGACCTCAACTGCACAAGGCATTCTGGCATTGTGGCATGGCAAGGGGAGTGAGAAGGAGCCAGGAGTCTACCGATTCTCAAATCCCAGAATGCTCTGCTCTGAGTTGGCTGGGAGTGGTCACAGCATAGCTCATGGGGGCTGGCTCCAAAGGGTGATGAGTTGATGTGAAGTCTATCCATAGTCTAATGTCTGAGCACAGACAATAGAAGTGAAGAAATTCAAGAGAACAGACTAAACCTTAAAAACACATCTGCAATTTAGCTAAGGCATCTGCTGAGGGATAATCTAGAAGGACTGGTACTCACCTAGCTTCTGACTCTACCTGAAAGGTATGAAGGCAAAAGGGAGCTCCCTAAAAGGGAGCGATCCAGTTTATCTTTCTGCCAGATGTAAGGACTAGTTACTCGAGTCCCAAGCACAGCTGATCCCAAGGAAGGGCCCTGAAGATCTGTTCTCCATATCACTGTTTATCAGCTAAAATGGCAAGATCCTACAAAGACTGGAAGAAATGATACCAAAGGAAAACTAAGAGGAAGGTAGGATGAAATACTGGCACATCTTTGATGCCACAGAGGAAGAAGAGAGGGAATTGCCCCATTGGAATAAAACAACAGGCCCAGGACTGCTCTACAGAGGGAGTAGGCCCTCTAGGTGAACTGAAATGGGTCAGAAAGAAGGCACACTCTGAGCTCTGGGACATGTCCTGGTGGCACAGAACCTACGGCACTGCTCTTGGTGACCCTCTGCTAGGGAAGTGTGGAGGTGGCCATGTATATATGGTGATGGGTCATTAGTGAGTATGGGGATTTCAGGATCAGGTATTAATTAATTTATTCATCCAGAAAATATCCATTCAGAGCCACTTTCTAGCATGGAATGAAATGGCAGCATCAACAGACATGTCTGTGCTCTCATGAAGCTGATCACCTTGCAAGGGAAACACATTAATGAACTGCCCACAGGCAGATGTGCACTATAGGAAATGGGGCTCACTTCCACGAAGGAAGCAAGACAGTGCTAAAAAACTAGCTTTCAACAAAGCAAGAGGGCCAACAGGCTCAGAGGAAACATCCCTGAGGTGAGACAGTGAAGGTGAGATCTGAATAGCTAGTCTGAGCTGACTTCAAGAAGTGGAGAAAGTGGACAAGAACCCCAAGAACAGAGACAGCCAGCACAGTGGCAAAGACCTTGTGTAAGAGGAAGCACAGTACCGCAGACTGCGTTCAGAGCATGGTGACAATTCCTCCCATGCTCCTTTGCAATGTGACTTTTGCTCCTCCCATCAAAGGTTGGACCTACTTTCCAACCCTTGGATCTGGGCTGGTCTTTTGATATGCACTGCTTGCAGTAGAAATTAAGTTTTTCATGTCTAAAGCTAAGCCTTGAGAGGCTTTTCAGCTTCTAGCTTCTCTCTCTTAGAATCCTGAGGCTGCCATGCTGAGGAAGAAAGACCACAGAGAGAGCAAGGCCCAGCCTGGCCTCAGTCACAGCCCTTGGTCTTCAGTGGGACCAAGCACCCATAGCCAACCCACTGCCAATGCACAAGTGAGCCTAGAGAATGCCATAGAGAATAGAAAAATCACCCAACTGACCCCAACCCAAACTGCTGAACCAAAATCATTTGTTGCACACAAATTTCTTATTTTAAGCAAATCTTATATCAAGGCACTAAATTTTGGCTTACACAAACTTAAGTGATACACATGGGATATTCAAGGAACTGAAAGAACAGCCATGTGGATGAAACTCAGAAAGTGGACTCAGAGAGCAGGGGTGGAGGAGAGAAGAGTAGTGTGATAGGAAGCTGGAGAGGCAGGCAGGACTAGCACCAGC